TTTGGAATATATGAGAAAAAAAGTTGGGTTTCGAGCAATCTCTTGTTTCATAATTGATGAGCTTACTTCCATTTCGAGTGGAAGTGTTGCGTGAAGAGATTCGAAGGTCGGTTCCACCAGATTACGACGGCGGATTTCTCTTGACCAGCTGTCGATTGGCCTTGCTTGTCAAGAGGAATCCTCCGTCGTCTTCTAGAGATTGGGAAGCCTAGACTGACCAAAGGTTGGTACACCACCTGCGCTTTGGTTAAAACTGTGACAAGCTTTCTGCAGATGTCTGCTCGCCTCAGGGCCTGAAAGCGTGTGGGACTCGAACAGCGCCCTTGAGTAAGCTGAAGGTTGGTCTTTTTCTCCTACGTGCACAGAATCCCTCGGCAGAGCCTGCAGCATCAATGGCAGTCTGGTGTCCCACAGTGCTCTCTACTACATGACCTGTCGTGACCAATGCGTCTGTGTCGACGGGAACCTGATCTGTACCGACCTGTGCCGCGAGGTGGAGCGGGAACTAACCCCGCCGGGACTCGTCTGCTACTACCAGTTGCCGGGGCGATCAGCGTCTGTATCAGCTGCGTCTCTGGTCGGAGTCCGGCAGCGCGAAATGCGTCAAGACGGCGCCAGATCGTCTGAACGTCCGGACCAGGATCAGTCTGGATCCGGCTATTGGTCGTCACGACTGATTGCTCAACTCTTCCGGCCACAATTGATCCCACCGGCGCCGGGCGGATGCTGTCGCCGATGGGCGTGTCTCCCAGTTCCCGGAGTTCCGCTGTCGGCAATCGCTGAACTGACCGATCGACACAATCTGAAGGCCGGACAGTCGACGCTTGGGTCCAGCACGGCCAACGGACAGCTCGGAATGAGGCAGTTGCCGGTCAGGTACGTGGATCACAGCCTCCCAGTGGAAGGAGTAAGACGTACAGGTGAGCAAAGATGGAACCGTACTCGGAGCTTTCTGATGTTTTCGCTTATCTCTGGAAGACATGAATGCTCCCCTGACTGGTACCATTTGCCAGAGCATCTTTTCAAATGATCCATTCTTTTTCGCCAACAAATCGGTATCCAACTGCGCAAGTAAGATTTCATACGTTATTTTCAATGCAACCTGATCTAAACATCCAAACGTTTATATGAAATTTCCTTGGAAACTGTCAAGATCGTAAATGCATCTATTGAGGAATATTCTAAGATAAGTTGTTCTTATTCGAAAAAGTAGACTAGTCTACTTTTTGAGACATTCGGAAAAGTTGACTTTTTTTGTTGTAAACTAATAAGAGTGAAGGTGTGTGAAATAAAGTGATAATTTCGTCTCAGTGGGAGATGGTCCAACACTGGATGTATACTGTTAGGTTTTAGCTTAGTAACAAAAATGTTCAATAACTCAAAGTCAATTTTAGATTTTGCAAGACTTTATCTGAAAATTGAATACTTCTCGTTTTACTCATGATTGTCG